GCCCGGATGTATGGAAGGAGGAAGAAACGTTGTGGGGAGAAAAAGGTCCTAATGCTTTGGACCCAGGATTGCTTGCTTGTGATGATTTTGATTCTGTTGGGCAAAATACGCCACCGGCTGATGTCAATCAGCATGGCCAAGTGTACTCTCTCTTTAGTACTAATTTGTCAACTTCAAGTGTACTCTCTGCAAGTGTACTAATTCGTCAACTGTCTTCTCCTTACTTAATTACATGTGCTTATTACTTTGAGGCGTACTAATTTTTCAACTTTCTTCCTCCTTAATTAGATTTTATCACATGTGCTTATTAATTTGGACAGAGACCATGAACCTTTTTTTTTTTCGGTCTAAATACAATAATCTATATTACTCTTACACTGTGGGAGAGAAAGAGTCCAATTCACAATGAACTCCGTTTACATCAACTATGGGTTAAAAGAATATCAATTACATCATTCATGCAGTTTAACAAGGACGAAAATATTTTTTGGTAAACTTTTTCAGTTTTGAATAATTTGTTTGGATAGTGTTTATTTACACAAATTTTATTTGTTTGCATCATCAACATATTTTTTTAACTATTATTTTATCTTATATATATCAAATCAAAAAAGTATTACAATATATATATATTTTTAAAAATTCCAAATAATCTCCTGTCCAAACGATTGTACGTTTACAATCGTTATTGTATTAAGTTACTGAGTTGATGTACAAAAACAAAAGATATGTGTACAACAAAGAGAAGTAAATATATATCAAATCATGTAAAAAATACAATAACTATACAATTGTATGAAAATCACAAGTGTACTGGCCCTTCTTACTAATGAGCCCACCAGAAAAAAATATGTGCGGGTAGTTTCCGGGCCTATTATACGGTGACATACTAATTTTAAATTTGCACGGTACTGCAATTCTCTTTGGAAGAGAATCTTAAAATAATTTAATAACACAAGTGTGTCTTCTTCTTCTTTTTTTTTTTTTTTTTTCTGTAGACAGCAAGTCCGTGCATTGGAGCCATCAGATTTTTAATCAATCAAGATCTCATTAAGCAACAATTACAACAAGTATTAATTAAATTGATCTGCCACCGTGTAAAGATCTGGATAACTGTTCCCACGATGTTTCCGGCAACGGCAATTTTACCCACTTGGGGATGAATCTAGTCGAGCACACCATGTTGCATTATGTGAAACTAGTATTTTGACCTGTGATATGCACGGGTTATATTTCAAATCAAAATAATTTTTTTTTTTGTCATCTCTGTCATGTCTTTTGCAATTCTCTTTTTTCTTCTCTTCCTTCCCCGCCTATCCTTGTAACCCATATTTCTTTTTCAACATTTTCTGCTATCTTTCAACTCCTCACTATTTTCTACCCTCCCTCCTCCCCTTTTACCTAACATATAAATTCATATTCATGCGACCCAATATATTTAACTTTACCTATCATAATGAAAATGTAAAATTAAAAATTAATTACAATGGTTGCAATTATTAGTATCTAAAAATCGAAATGAAAAACTGATAATATCTATAATATCCTCAAGTACTACAATCAACATATATATATATATATATATATATATATATATATTTAACATAGCAAATACATATTTACATATGAAGGCAGCAATAAGAATACATAAAATAATTAATGATACCAAAACTTATCCTTAGTGTTTGGGTTTTGCACTCTTATTCAAATTTAATGTCAAATTTGGGCCAGATATATACAAATTAAGTAGTATTTTAGGGCTGAATGTTCTATATCTTTCTCTTAAACTATAATGTTACTTTTTTTAAAAATTTTTGGTAGAATTGGTGTTGTTATTATCATTATTTTTTTTTTATCAAAAATGAATATTTCAAAAAAATTTCGACGTTAAAAGGCTAGTAGTACTTTGTTTTTTATTTAGTGATTCCATAATTTCGATTTCATGAATGGTACCATTCTTGATTTTTTAAATCCACGACATTGTTTCCTTTTTGTTTTCTATTTAATTTTGCCATTTTATTTAGGATTACTAAGTTAAAAGATAAAATATTATCATTTACTTTTTTACTTTTACTATGTTTGGCAATATTTTTTTTTATTTACCCTCCCACTAATAAATTTTAAACCAAATTCCTATATAAGCAGAGCCACTACTTTATTAAATTATAAAGGTATAGAAGTCATTTCTTACTTAAGAAAATGTTATTTGCCCTCCATTTTTTATTATTTGTAATTGCACCATTTGTTTTATCATATAGTCTAACTAATGAAAATTATATGATCAAAATGATTATTGAAGTGTGAATAACAAAAATGGAGTGTAAATAATCTTATTTATTTAAATTAATAAGAAAGCATGAAAGGATGTTATAATTGTTATCTCTTCTTATGGTCTTATAGAAGTTTTAATTGTTGTAGAATCATAAACAATGCAAGGCAATCAGAAACGTGATGGGTTGAAGTTCAAATAGAATAACATGCACATTAATCAACAATTTGAAATGAAATGATGTTAAAAAGTAACCAACAATTTCAAATGCGCAGAGGTGATGTAGAAGTTGAGAGGAATATATTTTATGAATTAAATTAAATGTGAAATGCTAGAAAAATGGAATTGGTAGTGGGAAGATACGTGGAGGCTTGTTGCTAAAAATCCCTTCTCAAATTTATATAGATATAGATAATAATAGGGATTGCAATTGGAACAGGCGGGCTTATGGAGACAGGGGCAGAGCGGGGGTGGGACGGGATGTGGAGCATTTTTCTCTCGTTAAAAAATAGGGTGGGAGAGTATACTCTTGTCTCATTCCTGTTCCGTTGCCCGTTAAAAAAAAATTAAATTGTTGCAAATATATTTAATTTAATTAGTTATAAATTTATAATAATGATATGATTAATTATAAATATTACATAATATATATTAGTGTATATAATATACTTAATTATATTAATTATATAACAATTATGCATGTATATTAATAGAAATTATTAAATTTACTAATATGTTTATACTAAAGTTCTAATTATACTTAACATTTATATATGTACGATTTTTTTGTATATAATTTTGCCAAATTCATATATTTCATTTAATCATGCCTTTTCACTAAAAAATCTAATATATTACGCATACGTAGTATTTATTGTTAGTCTTGTATTGCACTTTACTAACTATGACATGAACCCTTTTTTGTTCCTTTTCTTTTCGAGGGGAAAGAACCCCAAACTGAAGAGGGATAAAGTGATAGCTATGTCTAATTCTTTTCCCACAAACGTTAAACAGATTAAAATTGAGAGCTTGCTACTTAACGAGCACAATCTCTAATGGTCGCTTAAAATTTTAAGATAGTAACACAAATAACTTTTCATATAAATTCCCTTATTTTTTGGACAAGAAAAAAGAAGAATATTTAATTAACTAAGAGGGAGGTCATAACTACCTAAATGTGTGATGAAAATTGTGTTTCTAATGCAAGTAAATAATTTGGAGCCTAATAATGGCTCTCCAGACACACTCACTGTTTATTGAAGGGAATCAAATGGATTTGATAATGAATGAAGCTAACACAAAAAAATTAAGGAATCTCTGCTCAAATTAATTTGTTGATACTTTCGTGTGTGACGTGAAAAGCTGGGAATGCGTACCATGCACTCCGCGTACCTAATAAGAAACCCCCCCTTGTACCCCCCCCCCCCTTCCCCCCCGGCCCAACACAATATACCATTGGTATCCTCCTGTGACATTGCGGGAGGGCTAGGTTGAATTGGATGGTAAGAAGAAAATAGCATAAATAGGAGATTTTGGATTTAAAATTTTTCGTTTGAAAAAAAACTCCTTCAACATTTCACAATATACCAACTTTTCCTTTATTTTTCCTTTGAAAATGCAAAAAATTGCAAGCTTAGGTACCCTTTAAAATGCAGCTTGATTTAATTTGATTGATTGGTTAGTTGATGAAAAAAGGTATAAAAAAAATCATGTTCATTAATCTTTTAAACCAATCTCAATTCTTTTTTTCTTTTAAATATAGGTGGGAGGTTTGAATTTAGGACATTTCACTTACATTTCGTTCTCCTTAAGCGCCTAATCCATTCCTCCATCTAACTGATCTCAACTTAACAAGTGTAAAGCTTGAATTTTTAAATAAATATACGAAATTACTTGAAATCGACCTCATGAAAACTCATTTGAGCAATAATTGAATAATAATAAAATAAATTTTAAATGCTTAAATGGTAGTACTATTACTTTTCTCGTTCCACTTTGATAATCTTGCTTTCATTTTTTCATTTATCCTAAATTATAGTTTACTTTTCAATTAAAAAATATGGTTGAATTTTAACTTCTCTAAAATGTCCATATTTAATGTACTTTGTTATGAATGAATACAAGTTGCTTACCTAATAATTGATCTGTGCTTCAAAAAAAAAACCTAATAATTGGTTTGATCCATGCCTGAATAGTAAAACTTTCCATCAAAATCGTTATTATAATTAACGTAAAGGTAAATATTAAAGTAAGGATATTTTAGAAAAATAGTAGACTAGATCGGTTGAATTGCTATTTTTAAGAGTTTTTTGCAAGATTGTAATAATTTAATATATGTGAGATAAAAAAATAATTAAAAAAATATATTCATAAATAATATAAAAATTTTTTTGTCAAAAATCACAATCCAAACAATGCCACCCCGTGAGTACTCAGCAAAGTCAACTAATTTTTCTTAATTTATGTGTAAAAAAAGAAAACTACTAAGAGGGTTATTGTGTTTACAGCGAGTAAACTTGTTCACTGCCTAGGGAATTTGGTAATTGACAACACCAACATCCACATGATCAAAACAAACAAACAACCTTAGGACACGTGCCAGTTAACGACGTCAACGGCCGACGGTGTTCACAGCCGTAAACGCTCTGCCGAGTGCTGAGTTTCACCAGCACACGTTGACGGCACTCTTAAGAACCGTCTACAACGACTTTAGTAGTGAGGACCCCCGCCCCGTCCCTCCCCTATACCTCTCCATCCCCAACTCATTCAACCAGGGAAGCAGGAGAATCAGAAACCTCTCCCTCTCTCTCTCTCTCCACTTTCCCTCTCTATTTTCTCCGTTTCACACACACCAGATATATACACACACATATATATAGGCACACACATATAGATTCTCTCTCTCTCTCTCTCTCTAAATTGTCTCCGTCTGCCGGTGGTTCGCCCAAGCACGAAACGGTACTGTTCTGATCGTTTCCTTTTCTATGATTTTAGACAAAAAATATGAACAATCGCTAAAATGTTTAGCATGCATAAAATCGAAGAATTTTTGTGGTTGATTAGTTGGTAGTATATATGTTTGCTCTTGGGAATATTAGTGAGGTGGATTCATTAGAGATGATTAAGGAAATAATCGGGCGGAATTTGGGGAAAATATATTAGGCAGTGTTATTGAATGAGATTACAAATTAATCGGGGCTACAGTTTCGGATCTCTAGGACCTATGCAGTGTCTGATTATTCGTATTTTTAGGGTTTTCGCGACTCAGACTTGCTCCTACTGCTTAGTCTTCTCCACCTGCCTACTAGCAGCTTTATTCGACTTTTTTCTTTTCACTTAAAAATTTCCTCTCGCAAATATATTTCTCCTTTTATTTTCCTTTAAAAAATTAATTCTACTTGCTCGTGGTAAATTTTTTAAGCTTGAGTTGTGTTTATAAAGTAAGAATTTATTTAGTTAAATAAAAATAAAAAATAGGATTATAGATGTTGCCTGTTGATTGCTAATTGTTTCCTTGAATTGTTTTAAGAGAGAGGGGTCTTATTGAGTTGTAAATTTTTATTTTCCAGTATCATGATAATTTTTGCCGACTTGGAAAATTTCAGTTCTGGGAGAAGCTTTTGAAGCGCTGAAATTTATGGAACAGGGAAGAGGGATTAGGGTTTCAGCTGCTGTGATTCACTGGCCAAATGGTAGAGTTATTGTCTATTAGTCAACCGTAAAAAATGATGAATCTCGTCTATTCTTAGGTTTCCTAATTTTTGTTTTGTCACTTACTTTGCTTAGATACAATACTGTTCCACCATAACAAAAGATGAATCTTGTCTGCTCTTAGGTTTCCTAATTTTTAGTCCTGTCACTTATTTTGCTTAGATGCCATACTGTTCTGAGACTTACTTATGCGTTTTGTGTTGGTCTTGGTCATGGGGATGGCTGGTATTGCCCGTTCTTCTTCTTGACTATTTCTGCTTTGCTTGGAAAATGTTAATTGAGATTAATGGAAATTGATGAATTTGAAAGTTTCTGAGAGTGATATGTTGGACTTTTATTTGAACCGTGATCAGGTGGGTAGTTTTAACGTACTTTCACCACCTGCATAGAAAAATATGCTTTCACGTATGGGATTCACGCTTCTTAGTTCTTTATGCAAGAGACCATTGTTTTGCATGGTTTATTTTCTGGCTGTCAAACTATTGATAGTTTCTTTTGTGGTTTCTGCTAGTGATAGTTATGAATGCCTCAACTCCTGCTATGGAGACTTAGTTCTAATTTTTATGTTTTTGTTTACAGTTTTCCTATAGTAACTTTTTTAGGATTTTATTGTTGCAGTGACTATGATGGGATTATTGGTGTGACTGACAGCTGGAGTAGTTTATTGATATAATTTTGTTTATATGAGCAAGCATGGGGTCTGTCTGTTGTGTTGCTGCTAAGGATAGAACGGTTACAAATGGGTCTACCAGTGAAATTATGCACAGGAACATTCGGCATTCCCCATCATGGAGCTTTCGATGGGATAACCGGGTGCGAGTAGTGGGGGAGGAAACTTCTGTAAATTGGATTTCCGATGGGGTCACCCGCAATGATCCACTAGATGTTAAATCTGGACCAACTATTGAAACCACACATGCATCTGAAGAAGGTAGTCCATTGGATAGTTTTCAATCACTTGTATGGCAGAAGTCCCCAGTTTCTGATGTAAATAACGGGGCTACAAGGCTCACTACTTCTGGTACATCTTTATGCTGCTTCTCATCTCATTTCATTTTATAAATGTAACGCTCTCTGAAGAAAAAAAGTACTCTTATGGAGATTACGCAAGTTTTCTTTTCTTTTTCCTACTTGATTGTGTGAGTGCTGTGTTTATTGTTCCTGGGAACTAAACCTAGTATTTTGCAATGTCGGAATTTCGTGAGACATTAAATAATCAGTCCTTGACATAAAAATACATAGTTAAAAGTACATAGTTATGGTTGTATACTGGGCTAAAAGCAATGCCAATTAGTGCGACAGAAAACATCATTCTAGTCTAAGAATAAAAACTTCAATGTTACACTGAAGTGGCAGTATGTAGGGTGAGGTTCTTTCGATTTCGCACATTCATCATCTATACTGCTGCATATGTCACATATACTAGCTGTACAGAGCAGCTTTAAGGCGAACACACAACTACACAAGCTGATTGACTGGAAAACCAAGTATAGGAAAAGGAAAAGGGTGAACAACTTGTGATTCTGCATGAGGCAGTCACTATTGATGATTAAGCAGGGATGATGGGTGACTTTGAGAGTAACTTTGCTGGCTACTAAGATAGGTGGTGTTATACTATAATTTAGTCCTTTCCTAAGTAGAATAATACAAGCTTCATAGGCAAATACTTGGTTTCTGTGTTATATGTTTGCATAAAATTTTCCTGATCTCCTCTTAGATGGCAGTTTCATGTGTAATGACGTATATGATAATATTCAAATTATTGTTGAAGCAAACTATTTTGGCAACCAGTGTTACTGATACCATGCTTCAAGGCCACAGAAACTGTTTAACTCAACCATCACTTCGTATCTAAGTCTATCCACCTTATGCACGAGTTGATGAACATTGATAAGTTTGGAAATATATAATTTCGTATCACTTTGATTGTTCAAGAGTTCTGGAATGGTTATATATACAGGTTTCCTGATTAGTTTAATAGTTTCAAATATCTGATGAGTGGTTTTACATCACCATGACAAACTGAAAAACGGTGGATGTTTCTCTGAGTAGCCAAATAACTGCATAACATCTTCACTATCTAGGTCTACTGTTGAGAAAGTTCGATGGAGACCTAGTGGATGAGGATCAAAGAGTCAGAAATCTTGTGAAGGATTTTAGGCGCATCTTTCAAGGACGAGGTAGTTTATGCCTCAAGCCTTAGTTCATGGGTTGTACATATATACAACCATGAAAAACTTTATGCGTACACAAGCAGATGATAGATGCCAATTCTCATCTATGCTGTGGTAGTTGATAATTTCCTCTCTTATTTATTCTATGTTAGTGGAGTGATGGGGCTTTCATCTTGCACTTTTCGAATTATTCTCTTGTATCTGCAAATGAAATTAGTTTTTTTTTTTTTAACTCTATGGGCTGATTGGCAATTATACTCAAAATTTAGTAGTAGTAGGATGCTTTAACAACTGTTTCGTGGAGTGCATTCAAATATTCCATTTGCAACATCTTGCTTCTATTGTGGACATTTGGGAAAATATTTTATTTTACTGCTATGGTGCATCATGGTCAGCCCTGCTGCATTGGGGAAAACACTAATTATTGCTGCATCAATCATGTTATTTAGATGTATCTTGGTGTTCTTTACTGAATAATTAGCAAATTGCCGAAAAAAAGCAAAAAAAAGTCAGCAATTTTGACATCAAATCTTGCCACTTTTGGTAAGGTGGTTTTAAGCCCCGAGGTACCTATTATCTTGTCTGAATTATGATGAATTTTTTTTGGTTGCAGATCCTTTAACCTGTACAAATTCTACAGATGTAAGTTTGAAATAGGTGTAAGATTTTCCATTAGATGCATTCACAAATTTTAAGTTCTTTTTGCCTAGCATCATCTTGATATATCGGTTATTTGTTTCTTAATTAGGTTAGGGAGTCAACTGCATCTCCTGCAGTTTCTTGTCCATCTCCCGTGAAGTTATCTCCTTCAGCACCTTCAGTTTCCTCTCTGTCAACATCACCTTTGTCATCCCAAAGCCACCCGCTTCCTGCAAGCTCAACTCCATCAAGATGGCCTCGCCGTTCTCCTGGGCACCAACTCTTACGGCAAGTATCTGACAGCCTTGTTCCAACAATCAAGTCTCCAACTTTGTCAGTTTCTGAAGAAACATCATCTTTTATGCTTCCTGGATGGAGCCATGAGTCAACTAGGGCTTCCCATGGTGGGTCATCAGACAGTTGGTCTACACCAACCTTCCCTGATATCATGTCAACTTCCCGTAGAGAAAGGTGGTCTTTTGACAGTGAAACATTGGGTTTTGTTCGTGACAAAATAACCAGATCTAGTGGTAGAAATTCTGGTTATTCCTTTGATCTCCAAAGCTGTGGCATTTGTGCGAAACTTTTGACTGAGAAATCTTCATGGGGCAGCCAGAAAATTATAGCAACTAATGAGCTTGCAGTGGTTGCTGTTTTAATTTGTGGGCACGTTTACCATGCAGAGTGCTTGGAAAATATGACCTCTGATATTAACAAGTATGATCCAGCTTGTCCAATCTGTACCTTTGGGGAGAAACAGGCACAGAAAATGTCGGAGAAAGCTTTGAGAGCCGAATTTGAGTTAAAGACTAGAAAGAGATCTAGGAACAGGATTGCTGATAGTGACCTTAATAGCGATCTTGTTGCTTTTGATCGTCAGAAAAGTAGTGGACATGACGGAAGAGGTCCTAAGATGAGTTCCAGTTCCAGCATGAAGGGCTCTTTGGCGAAGCCTTTCTTGAGGCGTCACTTTTCTTTTGGATCTAAAGGCAGTAGATCAATGTCAGAGAATCATTCTTCCTGGAAGAGGGGATTCTTCTGGGCAAAATCGAGAAAGGATTAAGTTCTGTCTAGAGTTACAAAGGTGAGCAACAGTCACGGTTTTTTATTAGGGAATGGAAGGATTGGATCCCTTTTCACGTAGTGAACAACATATATTTTGCATGGTTGGTCTTAGTACCTATAACACGAAAATGTTCTTCATCCGTTCTATTAATCATTAGGCTTTAGTCATTTAAATTTTTTACATCCCGCATTTCTCCTCTTGATTCTTGTTGATTTCTGCAGATTCCACAGTTGTTCTTCAGATGGGCTACGAAATGCATGCAGGGAGCAGGCAATCAGCCATAAATTCAACCCTGTCAAGGAAGCTGGCATTGTCTCGTGCAAATGTAGGTTAGCTTTTGAAGATACACTGCAAAGGGAAGACCATACAGATGGGGAAATGAATTCATTATAATATAGGAAAAAGGAAAGATGATAGGGGTCAGGGCGTCCGTGCATCATGAAACTAGTTCTCTTTCATTTTGTACGATGGCTGTTTACTGTTTAATTTCATGAAATTAGTTTGGATATATGCGTAGCGTTTTACCATCGCATTTCTAAATCGATATTCTATGGGCCGAATTACGCGTTGGAGACATCATTGGGTTGCTCCTCTCAATCCCATCTCTATCTATTGACGGATCCGGATCATGATGTTGAACCTTTCAACTTTTGACTTGGGATTTGTGTTCGCGTGTTGTTAACTTGTTACTGACCGACTCAGAAGACAGCGGATTCTGACTTCACCACGTGTCTCTTTAGTGAAAATTTAAAAGGCATTTTTCTTCTGTTCATAGTTTAAAATGTAATGTGATTATTAAAAGATCGTTTGGTATTATTTCAAGGATGGATGGATTGGATGGAAGGGATATCTGATATATATCATACCCTTCCAAAATTCAGGACCATGACGTATTTAATATCCCCCAGCGGAAGACACGTGCCTTGATGTCTTATAGGTGGCAATACACTTCAGCTTCCTCTGCTAATACGTGTGAGGATCTTCGGTACCATGCAGAAAAGACCGCGGTGCTCCTTCCACCGTCCTCATCCCTCTCTTGGCTTTTTTAAGTCTCCTGCGATATCCAAAATCCAAACAAAGCCGTTATCGCAGCTAAAATTCGTCAACCCCAAGTCTCAGGCTACCTTAATTTCAGTGCCCTTTTTCTTTATTTTTTTCTAATAACAGGAGTCCTGGAAAATGGCTGACTTGCGTGATGAATATGGAAATCCTATGCAGTTGACCGACCAGTATGGCAACCCGGTTCAGCTCAAGGACGAGTATGGCAACCCAATGCAGCTTAGCGGTGTAGCTATCACCGCCGGGACGGCTAGTGCTGTCCATTCTACTGGAACCGGACCAACTGCTGCCACTGGAACCCAGCAACATCAGGAGCAGCTTCATCGGTCTAGCAGCTCAAGCTCTGGCTCGGTGAGATACTTGCCAAGTTACAATGTGTGTGTCTGTGTGTGTATAATGCGCCATCATAATTGTTTGCTTGACAGATCCTGTTAATAATGAACCGTAATTTGACGTAAAGTGTACACGTTTTGTTTTTCTGGGACTTACATAATATCGAATCAGGCTCCTGTTGAATTTGAATGTTGTTAGCTAAAAGAAAATTTTGGTGGCTGAGTTGTTGAATTTGGTTTATAGTCGGAGGATGATGGACAAGGAGGAAGAAGAAAGAAAAAAGGGTTGAAACAAAAGATAAAGGAGAAACTAACGGGCGGGAGGCACAAGGACAGAGACGATCAGGAGCACATCGATGATCAGCACGCGCACAGCGCCTCTCCTCCAACAACCACCACTGGCAGTGGGACGTCTACTACAGTCGGGGGTCAGCAGCATGAAAAGAAGAGCATGGTGGAGAAGATTATGGAAAAGCTCCCTGGCCATCACGACACCCGCTAGTTACCTACCACAACATACTGTGATCATCGTGTAAAATCTCTCCTGATGCCTAGGAAATCTAGATTATGTTAGGCATTTTGTTTGGTATGTATGTGTGATTAAGACCTTGTTGTGCGCTTGAATCTTGAACGTGCATGGGATTTGCTTGGTTTGATTTGATTTGGTGAAATAAGTTGTACTAATGTCTACTGTCTTACCACAATTATATTACAGTAGTATTTCTTAAGCATTGTCTGCAATACCTCGATTACCCTAAGACCGTTTGAAATTTGGTGCTTTACGGATCATGGCAATTGCTTTGAGACAAACTAGCGTTCTAACTTCTGACTAGAGATGGCAAAATGGGTCGGATGAACGGAGTCTTTTTGGGTTTGGGTATGAGATGAAATTGAAGAATAAAGGTTTAGGTCAAATCTTACCCACGTCACATGTAAAATTAATTTTGGCGAATCACCTTGGGATAAGTTACGCAAGCTGATATGGACACACTAATACGTACTAATTCTATTTTCTGATGTTGGTTTATCGACATGTACGACCTGCAACATGTGATGAGTTGCAATAATCAAACCCGCAATTAGCAACATGTTATGATCAAAATTGGAAACTCTCCTTGAAAAAAAAAAAGAAAAATTTAGAAGCCACTTCCGCGTAAAGCTTTTCTAGAACCCAAATTGATAAGGTGGAAAAGCTTTGCTTGAAATGAATCTAAAATTAGGTCAAGTCTTGAACTTTCTTTCATTTCATGTGAACAACTATTTGGATAAGATCTCCTTCATCTAGGCGTTTCTTTTATTTTCTTTCCTTAATTTTTTTTGTGGCTTCAAAATGCGGTAGGGGAAGTGTCTTGATGTCCAAGCTCTGAGGTCATTGGCTAAGAATTTAGAAGGCCTATACATATGATGTCATGTTTTCATTAAACGGTGCGTTGTAAAATCAGTTCTCCACCATGTTTACGTGTATAGGCCTCATATGGATTTGCACCCCGAGTGCATTCGCCGAAAGCAATTCCTACTTTGAGACTGACTACGTTCTCTCTCGTGGTGAAAGCAATTCTTGATCCTGTTTGGTAAATGAGTTTTTTTGGCTGTTTGTCCAAAAGTTTATTATCATCTATTATTAAATTTATAGAAAATTGTTTTGAAGTGTCTAAAAATTTTTCTTTTAAGAGAAAAAAAACTTTCCTTCTTTTTCCTTTTCTTTTTTTCTTTTCCTCTTTCTTTTTTTGACTCTTCTTTTCCCCCACCCCATTGCGTTCTTCTTCTGCCTCACTCCTTGCTAATCGGCGCCCTGTCAATTGTAATCCCCCTCCCTCTTCCTCCTTACTCTTCCTGTTGCGATAAAGGAGAGGGAGGGGTGGTTGGGGAAATGAGGGGGAGGAGATGGCAAGGGAGAGGGGAGGAGGAGAGGGAAAGGGGAAAGAAAGGTCACAAAAAAAAAAAAGAGGCGCAGCTGGCGGAGATGGTGGTGGGTTGAGATGGGGGATGAGAAGAAGAAAGGAATGAAGGAAACTTTTTTGTGTGTTTTTGGCTACTTTAAAGAGTATAGTTTAAAAATTTTGAGGAATTTTTTGAAATTACTGTAGTTAAAGTAATTAAAAAATTTGGCCAAAACCTCCGCTTCCAAACCGGGCCTTATTTTGAGACTGACTATGTTCTCTATACGGGTCGAGTAGTTGGAAGTGTTCTTATTGAAAATCTAATTACTACATTCATTTCATTTGTTTACAATGTCATACAAACAGACTCCTAAACAATGCAAGGGACGTAATCTTCTTGTAAAATAGTGTAAGGGTCGAACTTGTCTATTACTAGGTAACGAGATTAATCTTGTAAACATTGATAGTTTATACACATAAAACTCGTCTATTAATAGTTTATACATGTACGAGGGCATTTCACTTCAAGGTTAGCAATCGTGTTGGATAATCAGGTAGATTGGATGTACGAGTATGAGTTGAATTAACATGTCTATCCCACGTCCATAACCCCCATTAAGTACGTCTTTTTTTAAGGGTAAAATATAAAAAAAGTCCCATGTGATAAATTTAATATACAGAAAAGTCTTTCGCGATTTCAAAATATACAATACAGCACTCCGTACTTTGAACTAAATTGTAAAGATGACGAAATCCGTTAAACTTAACAGAAATGACAATAAATATACCTGTTCTACCTCTTAACACTCAATTCTCTCTATCTAGAGAATAAAACAAATAATTTTTGAATTGTTTTTTGCCTAATTACATCAGGGTATTTTGGTCATTTCGTCTATTTTCATTAAGTTTATCAGATTCTGTCACATTTATAATTTAGTTCAAAGTACGAGATGTCATATTGTATATTTTAAAACTATAAGAGGCTTTTCTACCGATTAGATTTATTACACGAGACTTTCTTTTTTTTTACCCCTTTTTTAATAAATAGAAAAGCCCATATCAAGAGGATCCACTATTGCGTTTCGTCACCCCAATAAATGAATAAATAACTCTGCAAAACGGATCATCGTCGACGTCCACTGTTGATACCGGGAAAAAAAAAAGCAGCAGCAGCAGCAACAAACCCTCGAAAGTGCTCACCTTCTCCACTCAATAAGCTGCTCTGTTTCTCCTTTTCTTCAAAATCAGCTTTCTCCATTTCTCTCAACCTTTTTTCCCGCCTTTTTAAAGCCCTTATTCACATGCAGCTCCAAATGCTTTCCAACCCTCGGTTCCTTGTTAACCCGAATCGGAACTCTTCTCTCCCTTCTTTTTCTTCTCCTTTCCTTTCTCCTTCCAACAATCTCACCAACTTCTCTTCAATTTTTCGTTCGCCTCCCAATCTACTCTCAGCTTCTCTACAATCCAAAGTCCTCACCTCCGCAAGGATGTCTTCCAAGTCTGCACTTTCCGATAATGCTCAATCTGTTGAGTTAGGGCTCGACGATTGTCAGCTCGATCGCTTCGCAGCTGTTGCTAACCAGCTGGCCGACGCCGCCGGCCAAGTTATCCGCCAGTACTTCCGAAAGAGCTTCGAAATCCTCGATAAAGAGGATTTAAGTCAGTAGTATTCTCCTCCTGATCATTCTCTGCAATTTTTTATTTGCAGCGGGCAGTTAAGATTTGAAGGTTTTTTGTGATACTTTTAGGTCCTGTTACAATTGCTGATCAAGCAGCTGAAGAGGCAATGGTCAGGATTATACAAGAGAACTTTCCTTCCCATGCAATGTATGTTCTCTTAGTTTGGTAGGACATTGCCGGTTGATTTATGGTTTTACTTTTTATCCTTGTTCATACTAGAAATTGGACTGGTACTTTGATTATGAGTGGATAAAGTTCCGTATTTAAACTGGATGGAAAACCTGCCTTCCCAAAATAGTCGTGTTTGCTCTCTCGTGAAATAATCATCTCTGGGTTTTTCACGAGTGAATATCCCATTAAAAAAAAAGGGAGGAGGAATTTATCGTATTTGGTGTTCTCAATGTCTTGATTTTAATTAACCAAAATAACCCTTGGCAACCAACTTGGATCTTTGATGGTTGTTGTTCGAGGCCTTGTAAAATGTTATTCCCAAAAATTATGTAATGAAATGCTAATTGCAGTTATGGAGAAGAGAAGGGTTGGAGGTGTAAGGAGAAAGTTGCGGACTATGTTTGGGTATTGGATCCAATTGATGGAACAAAGAGCTTCATCACAGGTACTGCTCCTTTTCCCCCTTTTACTGTTGACTATTGTTTTCAACTAATTCAGTTCACTGAGCATATTATTTTTTTGCTTGCAATACAGGAAAACCATTATTTGGGACTCTTATTGCTCTATTATACCAAGGAAAACCGGTATGAGAGATGAGCTATTAACCTCTGTTAATATCTTGTCCATCAGTAACTTGTTAATATGCCATTACCTCAAAAAATACTTTGGTCAATGGCCATGTATCTCGTCTCTTACAAAGCAAGTACATTCTTGGGGAAATTTTCTGGGTAGAATCCAAGACAAATAGTTGAGCAAGAAATTTCTCATCAGGACACCAGAATGTAGTCCTGAAACAACTATCATTTTACATGGGGCGAATGAAGACAGCCAATACATTTGTTTACTCTTTTTAGATAGTGAGCTCTATTATCTTTACACCTGACTTTTGTTACTTGTAGAATGCCCAAATACCTGTACATCTACAATGACCTTAGTTCATTAGGACTTCCTGAGTTATTGACTTTGGATTGTACTGCTGTGTAAATTTGTCTAAATTCTTTCTTCTTTTTTTTTTTAGTTGAATCACCTAAGATTGTGCCAAGCAGCCATCATGTAAAAGAGAACTGTGAAGGATAATCATGTTAAAATATAACCAACAAAATATAGACGTCTTCTCTTTCTTTCAGGTTCTTGGCATAATTGATCAGCCTATTTTGAGAGAGAGATGGGTTGGATTAAATGGGAGGAAAACTACTTTAAATGGACAAGATATATCTACACGTGGCTGTGCAAAACTCTCACAAGCTTATCTGTAGGTTTTATGCATCCGATCATGCTATTTCTCCACTCTTACCTTGTGTTGCATCCATTGTTCTTTCAAAACTTTTTAATTTGTTCCAGCAAACAAATAGGTATTGACCTGAATTTCTGTCTTTGATATTTCCATTATTCTGTCTTAGGTACACAACCAGCCCACATCTATTCAATGGAGATGCTGAGGTGGCTTTTGCTCGAGTCAGGGATAAGGTTCATCCTCTATGTCCAAGAAACAATCAGATAGATGCGTATAAATTTCTATAAACGTTTAAGAATGTTGCGTAACCTGTCATGGTATCAGTTAAGGGTGGTTGCTGTGCATTGCATACATGCACAAGCACAAAAAAAGACAGATGCATATAAATTTCTATAAATGTTTTGAGAATGTTGCTCTACTGTCATGGTATCGGTTACTGGTGGTTGCTGTGTGTTGTATACATGCACAAGCATACTATATGAAGATGCAGCACATGAAGATGGTTAACGATCCAGCTTATGTTTATCTTTGTTTTTCTTTCATGTGTTCTTGAAGATTTTTTGTTCTTAGAACTGTTGCCTTGCATTGCTTTTAGGCTCTTTTGATGGACATGCTTTATTTCCTTACAAGCATCTTAGAGTTGTGCTTCTGTTGTAGTTGATAGATATCCTCTTTCACTTCCTTTGTAAGGCAGTTTGCCGTATATTGGAAAAACCATTGTTCAT